AGGAGCGCAGCCCAGGGGCTCCTTCCCTGGAAAAGCCTCATTTTTTCTGAAGACTTTTGTTAATCAAAAATGTCGCTCCTATTTTCTGAAGACTTTTATAAAGGGCCTCAAGAGAAATGCAAATGACAACCCCACTGAGATACTATCTCTCACCTGTGAGACTGGAAAAAATGCAAAAGCCTGACACCACATTCTGTTGCCAAAGCTGTGGGAACAGGAACACTCACCTACTAGTGTTGGGAATGCAAAATGGAGCGACCCCTAGAAAGGGGGATTTGGCAATATCTAATAATACCAGCAATGCACCTACCCTTTCGCCCAGCAAACCCAGTTTCGGGAACTTGTGCTGAAACCTTTAGTATCTACATGTGCCCAGCGTCAGGCGGAAAGCCGACTACAAATGGATGTACCAAGCAGACAATGACAGAACCTACCCATCATCATCACACCACAAAAAGAGACCACTGGAGACTGTGTGCCTCCTGATGGAAGCAACATCCCCACCTACAAAACGTAAGAACCTCCTAGAAAAGGGAAGAAAAAGAAACTGAACTTGAATCAGATGATGCCCCTCAAACTGATGACCACAGTTTGCATAAATAGCACGGGCATGTTAAACACCACCATGTGCATTCAAGCAGCAAAACCCAGTGTTGGGGAAATTCTACTGGAAAAGGAAATTAGCTTCTTCAACAAAGTTTTCAGGAGGAAAAACACAGGAGAGGGGAGTAGAGATGAAGAGACACAGCAGCCAGGCGCACTGCACGGGCTTCATCTGAACCTGGACCCAAACAAACCAGAGAAACGGGCAAACTTGCTGGAGAAGGGACAATAGGAAGAGATTACTATTAAGTGGGCTTATAGTTATGTTCTCAAAGGAGTCCAGAAGTTTGGGAGAGATATTTGTGGATTAAATATGATTCTGGGATTTGCTTCAACAAAGTAGTTAGAGCTTAGGGGATGACGCGGTGTGAGACCGAATAAGATGGGTCGTTGCGTGTTAGTTGTCGAAGTGAGATGCGGGGTGGCGGCGAGGGTCCGTTATACTGTTCTCTCTACTTTTGTGTATGTTTGACATTTTCCATCATTAAAAGTTTATATGTATTATACACACACACGTACATATTCTATCATTAACCCAGAGACTGTGTTCATGGCCAGCTCCCATCTACAAAAATTAACAACATACATAGACTTAAAAAAATACAAAAGGTTCTTTTTTCCTCACTTGGACCCAAGCGTAATGATGGATTTTCTCGCTAGCCAGGAAAGTTCACCAAGATAAACAAGTCGAGTTTAAAATGTTGTAAGCGGCCAAACTCCTGGTGAGGTGCTCTGGAAAAGAATACACTGGATATTCTGGGAAGCAAGAACAGCAGAAATGTTTCTGGAGGAAAACCTAGGGTCTCTGCCTTAAATCGAGGTTGGCAATAGTATCCGAGAAGCCCAGTTACGGACAAGAGCTCATGTATTCTCTATGCTTAAGAGTTAGAATCTGACAGCAAGGGTGGGGTGATCACCTACCTTATCAATGCCTACCAAAGGTTTTCAAAACTTCTCAATAAATAATACCAAGCTGCCTGATCTGATCCAAATATAAGAGCCCATCTTCAGCACCAGAAAAATAACGAGGCTGTGGCCATCTCACACACGGCCTGGGCAACTCAGAGGAAGGGACCAGATGACTTTCACTTGCAAACAAGTTTAAGCTCTGAGACCATGTCACAGAATAGGGTGAACACCTACAGTGAAAACGCACCATCTGATTAAAAGCTGCCTCTCGAGGCTGCTCCGTCTGGAAAGCTGGGGTGGGTCTCCCAGGACCAAGGGCAGGTCCACAACTTCCCCCCGTGCCACTCCTCAGCCTCCACCAGGCTCTGGCAGGAAGGGAGGCCTGTCCCCTTGATGGGGGCCTGTTTACCAGCGCTGCCCCCGAACCTGGGATCTTGCTACGGAAAGTAGACAGAAAATGCATGCAGCACGGGGCCTCCTCTTTGCAGCAGCGTAGCCCGTACTCCATGCTGGCTGCAGGTGAAAAGTTACAACCCTCCTCGACTGGCTTCCGCTTCCTGCCCAGTCAACCTGGAGAAACCGAGGTCGCCTTTTCCTAGTCTTAAAACTACTTCTACTACGAGCTAAACCGACTCCCTAGCAATGCGAAGAAGGACTTTCTCAGACACCTGGGCCCCGGCCCCTTTTATGTTCTACACCGGCGATTTTCAACCTTTTTCATCTCAGGGCAGACATAAACTCATTACTAAAATTCTGTGGCACACCCGAAAATACATATTTTTGGCAACAGGACCAAAAATAGGTATAATTTTGATTGCTTCACACTGCGCAGCTATTGTTGTGTTGGCTGCTGTCATTTTTTCACTCGACAGTCTGAGGGGAAAAAAGGTCAGTGCCCCTGACCAAATACTCAGGTATCGCACATTTTAAAAATTCTAATGGCATGCCAGTTGAAAATCACTATTCTAGGGCGTTTGGTCTTAAGCTGACGTTGCAATGTAACCTCTGTCTTCAAATAAGGAAGTGGACATGGCCAGAGTGACGACAACCAGGCAAAGGGACAGGCGCCAGGCCTGGCAATCCCGCTACAGAAGCCGAAGCCGGCAGGGGAAGGTGCCAGGCAGACTCCCTTCTGAGGCTCAGGGGTCCTGTGTCACCTCATAGCATTCCTGAACCACCCTGAACCCCGATCACCTTCACAGCCCACACGGTATCTAGCCTGAAAAGTCGGTATCATCTACAGGCATTGCAAAGTTGTGATTCTTTCTGGTAATGACAGAAAGCACTGGCCACGTGAAAGAAGGAAAGCAGACTCCCACTCCATGAGTGAGCCCTAGCAACTTTCAAGGACCTACCAAATTAAATGATTGGCTCTGCTTACTTCTCACCCAGGCCCTCAGCAGAAGTGACCGGGAGGACGTGGCCACCGCGCACACAGAAGCACCCTGGCAGGCGTCTGTGCTCTGGTGGCTGGCTGGGCTGTACGGGGTAAAATTACCGAGCACGCAGCGGTGCACTGGGAAACACAGCTGCACACAGACAAAGTGAGCAACAACGCTGGTGGCTGATACGGAAAAAGCTGCTTGATTTGCTTAAGCGAAACTTTTCAAAAGCTGTAGTGACTGGGGCTAATGAAAGGAAGGCCCGCTGCAGATGCGCGTTGCAGGAGAATGAGCACACACACCGCTGGGTAATGGCAGAGAAAGCAAAAGGCCGGCTGTAAGGGCAAGACTCCAGCTCACACTGAGCGTGCACCAAAATCCACGCCTGGAGGGGCCGGCGGGGGGCAGGGCCAGGTGTCAGCGCCAGAGAGAGCCCAGCCCCTCTAGACGGGACCCAGCTCACCTTTCTGTTGTGTCTGCCCAGGTGCCTATAACATGCCCTTAATAAAGAAATGGACAAATGAATCATCAACCAAATCAATCCTGGATGATTCAGAAAGCGAAGCTCAACCTAGTGTTAAACCACAGCGTTTGACATGCCCAGTAATTACCCTTTCTGTGAGGCGGAGATGGCTACACTTGTCAAATGCTCACATTCACCCAGCGCCGCCCTATAGAGAGCAACACGGTAGTCACATCTGACACACAGGGTGCGCGGGAGAGGCGCGCCGCCCACCTCACTGGGAACACGCCCCCACAATTCCAGCCGTCTGCTGAGGCTGACTAGGTAGCAGGCACTGGTGCTGCCTCCCAGACAATTTAGCCCAGTGAGAGCTGCTAGGGACTGGATCGTGCCCGCCTGCTCTCCAATGCCAAGGTGTTTGGAGATTTTGGAGACGGGGCCTTGGGCGGTGATTACATTTAGATAAAGTCCTGAGACTGGAGCACCAAAATGGGATTAGTGTCCTTAGAAGAAAAGGAAGAGACATCAAAGACCAGAGCTCCCTCAAAACCCCCACCGTGTGAAGGCACAGCAAGAAGCAGGAACTGTGAGAAGTAAATGTCTGCTCTTTAAGCCCCAAGTCTATGGTATTTAGCAGCCAGGCTGGCTGAGACAGTCCCCATTGACCGTAAGAAGAGTGGGTGCAGAAGTTGTAAAGCACATGCCCAAGTTCAGCACGTGAAGCCAGACTCTGAAGCAAGAGAGAATGCTGACCAACGAGCATACAATACCCTTTTCTTAAGAAAATTAATTCTTGCAGACCAACAATATCACCACTTATAAAATAACTTTTGTTCATTGAATTTGCTGACTTAATAAAGCTCACAAATAATAAGAAACTCTTAGTAGGGATGAAGTTTTAATTGTAAATATGCCAACAGGAGGAAGACCTATAGACCAGACTGTCCAACAGAATGGTCTGTGATGACAGAAATATTCCATGAACTGTGCCATCCAATGGAATAGCCACGAGCCCAGGAGTTCTCACCTGGGGGCAAATGGGCCGCCCTCCAGGGAACACTTGGCAAAGTCTGGAGACATCTTTGGAGGTCACAAATGGGTAAGAGAGTACTACCAGCATCTAGGGGGCTAAGGCCAGGGATGCTGGTGAACATCTATGGTGCGCAGGACAGCCCTACCACTCGGAGTCCTCTGGCCCAAAGTGTCAATGGCGCTGAGATAAAGAAAATCTACACTAACCACGTGTGACCACTGAGCATTTCAGATGTGGCTACTGAGACTGGGGGATGTAATTTTTTTTATTTTATTTTATTTTAATTAACTTGATTTTAACCTGTAGAATTAAAAAATGTAAGTCTAAAACTAACAAAACTGGAATTCAAATGTAAACAGCCACGTGCATCTATTGAGAATGTGCATAAATATAAAATAAAGATCCCACTTCGCAAGTAGTTCCATTTAAAGGAATGAAGACTCTTCAGGGAAAAGAGAGATTCTGAGGCTCCGGGCTGGGAAGCCAGAGGCATACACAGAAGCACAGAAGCGGGTGCCCATGAAGCGCTAGGATTCCTGCCCAGGCACCAGCGAGGCCAGCACACAAGGCAATCACCCCACGCTCCCTTCTACAGCGGCAGGCAACTCACTCTTGCAGGGTCTCCACCCCCTTTTCTTTGTACTGCAGTTCTTGCTTCATCTGGGTCAGCTCTCGTTTCAATCTGGAAAGCTAAAGACAAATAACATTGTTTTTCCCCAAAACTTGCTGTGAAAAATTATTTCTACAGTTGTTATCACTGTCACTGAAGTTTCTGATTAGCTTGCAATTCACTGGATCATCTGCTCTCTCCATGAACTTCCATTCACACGCATATAAAACAGCCACCTTGGAAGAATGAACTGCTTTGCTAACACACCAGAGTCCCATGTGTTCCTCTCCAGGTGAAATGCCAACTATTTTCTTTTTTAAGGTATTGATTTGCTCATCACAATCAGCAAATTGGGTAACACTTTGTCTCTCTTCCTTTCTCCTTGCTACTCACAAAGCCTAGTATGAAGCCCGGCTGCTGAGAGTGTGGGCTTATTTAAGCAGGTTCTGGGACCCGCCCCAGGCCTGTGTTATGCTCAGGGGGTGGGCCCGGGACCTGGCACAGCTAACCAAGCCCCAGGTGTTATTCTTAGGTGCACCAGGATTTGAGAACCACTGCCCTGAAAGATATGCTCTGCTCCAGGCACTGAGACACCGACCGCCAACCACCGTGGGAGGCGTCATCTCCGAGGTGTCTTCTGGGTTTTGATGCCAATGCAACAAAGCGGACCCCCTCCCCTGGCAACCAAGACAAGGGGCTGAAGGGGAGAAAGGAGGGTACACACAGGAACACAGGCAACTTTTTGTTAGATGGGCTGAGGTTTTAAAATGAAACATTTTCCCTCCTATTGGGAACAAGCAGAGAGTACAACCAAACATAATAATGGTCCATGAAATCAAAAATCTTACTAAAATATGAGTGTTAGACACACTGACCACCCTAAAATAAACCAGAATAAGTGATGTTACATAAAAATACATATGAGGCATGTAGTTGTGAGAACACTTGTTTTACTTACCCTATCCCGGCGACTTGCTATTTCTGCTTTAATCTGGTGTGGGTCATATTTTGTATTTGTTGAATATCCAGAGAAGGCTAAAGAGAAGGAAAATAATTTATTTTATAATGGATCCTTTGAAATAAACAAATACACATAGATAGGAACTTCTGATTCACCGTATTAAATAATTAAGTCCCAGATTTACAAGTTGGCACTGGCTCCTAAAGAATCAGCATTTCCCAACCTCAAGTCTGGATGTTTGATTTTTGCATGAGGCCTTTCTACAGGATTCCACTTAGTAAAATAGGTGGCTATCGGTAAATCAAAACTTTGCTTACTTCGACTACAAAACTAGTAGGCTTAAAAACCACATACACATGGGGAGGGAAAGGTATGATTAACTATGGAAAACTGCTCTTACTGTGTAAATAGTGGATGCACTATGAATCATTTTTTACTTTCTTTTAAAATGCACACACACGGAAGTCTCTGAAAGGATAGAGCCAAAAAGTCAACTGTGGTTATTTTCAATGGTTTCATTACAAAAGATTTTATTTTTATTTCCTTCATATCTATAGTCCCCAGATGAATAATTTTTGACATAAGTAGGAAAAAAATAGTAAAGATCTGTAAAATGAAAAAGACAACTTTCTAGTAATGTGCCAGTGTCTGACAGGCTTGAGAAAAAGCTATTCTTCCAGGCTGTTCCACATGAACTAAAGGGAAGCACACGTCCTTTTATTCTGGCACCTTGCTTTTGATAGCTGTTTAGCTAAAGCACGTCACATAACTAAATGTGTGCTTAAATGGTGCAGTGCACAGGCCTTAACCTCTTTTTACGGCCCCAGCATCTCTACGAGGAGCCGATACCTGGGGGTGGAGGAAACCCAAAGAGCCGTTCCCGTGGGTGCTAAGCAGTTAGCCACTTTCCATCTGCGCAGAGAGCTGTAAGCCCCTTCTGTCATTTCAGCAGCTGGAGCAGCTAGTGGCTGCTTCTCATCCCACCACCCTGTCACCCTAAAATATAGAGCGGCACGTGCCTAGCTCCTGATGCTTCCCTCTCCTTTCTCTGAGGCTCCTCAGGCCATCAGCTTCTGGGCTACAGTGACTTGCATTGTGTCCCCTCCTTAGGTGGTGCAGCGCTCCTCTGTCTTCATCTGTGGACACCCCACACTCCTTTCCTCTGCCTCCAGGTCATTTTCATTAATGTCACCTGCTCAGAAGACCCACCCACAGGGCCAGCATCCTTTCTTGTACTCCTCTGATCTGGGGACTAAAGGCTGTCATTCAGGGAACTGGCTGCCAACACCTAGAAACTAGTTCAAAACCATGTCCTGACTTTCTATGGCAAAGGATGGCTCAAAGCCACCAAATGGCTTCAACAGCAAGATTATTTAACAGCCCTAATTATATTCAAAGTTAATTTGAGCAGTTGAGATACCTCTTTATAAAAAAACAGTTCTATGGCAAATCTACTCTGTCAGAATTTCGAACCACTAGAATCCACTGGAAATAAATATCTGGAGGAGCTAAGTGTTTGCCAACTTTATGTTCTTATATTTAGAATCGTAATCTCTCAAGACATGGAGTAAAATGTTTTTAAAATAGAATTCTTTCTTAGACAAAGAATGTCTATTTCCAAATCCTACAAGTTCTATTTGGTCTGACTCTTTGGTTTCATTGAAGATCAGTGATGAAAGCAACACCTCAAACACTGCCCTTAAGAGGCAGAAATCATTTGTATAAAATCTCCACATTAAACTCCTGGGACTTAAAAGGTTCTCAGACCTCAGCTTAAGGGGCTTTCACTCGGGAGCCAGATAATATGCAAATGAGCCTAGGGTTTGCTGACTCCTCGTTTGCACTGTGTCAACTTGTCACCTTACAGTTGAGGAAGACCATGCCAACAGTTACCACCTGGGATCTTTCCCACTGGGGTAGAAAGTAACCCCACCACCGAAGTGCAGGGAAGTTAACTGCAATGTTAGACATCAGTAACAATGATCTGAAATCATTGCCACAAAACTCGTAATTCACATGGGAGGTGTAGCAGGCACACTTGGACAAATACATGGCAACCTGCCCCCCTTCTCCGTCCTAACTACCGGCATCCTGAGGTTGTCAGGTATCCACCTCTCCTCCCCCAGGAGACTCAGCACGTAGCCAGTCCTGGAAGTAGAGGTTGATGAAACGCGACATCCCCGAGCCACTAAATCCACCAACAGGAAGCCACCCCACCTCGGAGGACTTCCTTACTGTCCAGACCCGTGTGAGTTAGTCTTTTCTGAGACTTACAGCTGAAACCATCCTAAATGATAGACTAGGTTTTACTTCTATTGATATCATTCATGTTAGCTTTGCTATAGTCTCTAAAATTATAAAATTCCAGGACTGGAATGAAAGAAAAGTCAACTCAGGCGCCTAAGACAGTGAGTACACCTTATCTTCAAATGCTAAGGAGAGTTGTGAACACTGGCCTAACTTTTAATAATATAATTCGATTTATGTAAATTCTCAGTTCCTTATGTCTGCCAGTAAGTCTAATGGAATCCATATCTGGAGTCCAAGAAATAGCTCAGGACTCCAGACCCCATTTTTAACAGCATGTGCTCCACATCATTTAGAGAAAAACTATCTTCCTCTGTTAAGACATGTCTCTGATCTCAGGGTTTATGATAAATACCAGACTTTCACCTCTGAAGCTGAGTGGGCAGAGCTATTAAAAAGCTTAAGGAGTCCACTCAGGCACATGCTATTGTTTTGGATGATATAATAACAAGGTTTTAGTTCAACTGGACCACAACCACGTACATGATTGGTCCTTGCTATTATAGGGTGTCTTTCACATTTATTTCATCTAGTCTCATAAAAATCTTTGTGAGAGATGATGATGATGCTCCCCCACTTTATAGATTCAAGACTGAGTGTGCAGTGACTTGATCTGCATTATGCCATCAGTCACAGAGGGACCTGTGTCTGGAACTTGGGCTCCTATGGGTCAGCTGTCCAACACCCTCTCATCAGATTCACTTTTCCAATGGAAGAAGAAATGGCCCTCTGGCTCCCCAAAGCCCATTGCCCAGCAGGTGACCTAGACTTGTGTATTTAACACTCAAAATGCTACAGACCGCAGCATTTATCGTGAATTTCAATCATACAGGCTACTGAAAGGGGGAAACTGTGTGGGTCTGTCTCTGTCTCTCCAAAGACATCCTCTGGACAGAAGGCTCAAGACCGGGGGGTGTCTCCAGCATCAGCACTGTAGGGGGTTGCTCAAAGGAGCCAGCGAAGACTGGAAGAAAGGAGGCAAGCCCTGACAGGCTCCATGCTGACAGGTACTAATTACCGGAGCAGGGATAACTGAGGCCAACAAAGGAGGGCATGACATTTTTTAAAAGGCACCATAAGCAAAGGACCAAAAAAAAAAAAAACAAGCACGCTCAAGACCTACAGAAGTAACGCAAGAAGTCACCAAATCCAATTCAAGAATCCTATCGAGAACAGACTGGGGATTATCTCTCAGTAAACGTGTGCGCTCCACTACAACCTTCAAGACTGAGTCTTGCCAACTAATACCTGTGAAAAATGCTGTGTGATCCATTTTTCCCCTGCCTGCTCCAACATGCTCCAATGAGGGAAAACAAAAGACTAAATGGATGGACTTTGGCCCCTAGCCTAATCTAGATAGTAGATGAGAAACCCTTTACCAGAGAACTAAAGGGAGATAGTCTTTGTGGGAGGGCCTTGGGGCTTCAGAAAGAATGTTGGCAGCGCTGATCGCTGATAAGGTCAAGCTTCACCACCACCTAACTCAGGAATTCAGGGTGGATCAGCACTTTCCCAACAGAGATAAGGCTGACTCTTTCCCAGCCACCCAAAGAGACTTCTGGTGTAGACTTCTGGGAGCTCCTAGGAGCCAGGGTAACAAATAAAGCCATATTCCTGCTGCTAAAAGAATCAATCTAGACCAGTGGGTCTCAACTCTGGGGATCACTTGGGGAGCTTTTTAGAGAAATGTCTGGCCCCACTCAAGACCAATTAAATCAAAATCTCTGCCCAGGCGGCAGTGGGTTTTAAAAGTCCTTCAGGAGATTTTCATGTGCAGCCAGGCAGCACTGAGAACCATTGGTGTGGACCAGGGGCTGGGAAGCCTTCTCTGCAAAGGGCCCAATAGCAAATATTTTTGGCTTTGTAGGTCATACAGTCTGTACCTCAACTCAACTCGTTGAGCTGCTACAGACAATAGGTAAGAGAACGGATGTGGCTGTGTTCCAACAGAATTTTATTTACAAATACCCTGAGTGGATTGGCTTTAGTCTGCGGGCCATCCGTAATTTACTGAACTGTGGTTCAAATGATAATTTACCCCATGCAAGAATCCCTTCCAAAAGATGCTGCAAAAGGTCATATACTTCATCTGAACACATCCAGAGGCTAGAGTTTCTTGGGAAGAATGAACGAGTAACTCCAGAAAAAAAAAAAAGTTTCTGAAACAACTAATGTATTCCGTGTTAAAAGGAAGGCAAACAGAAGAACATATTAGCATAAAGAAAGCAAAAGAAAACTCTGCAAAATGGAGCTGTAAGAAAACATACCAGAACTGGGTACCAAACAGCTAGCTCACAAGTTCACACAAATAAAGTTGGGTCCTTAACCTTCTGGGGACATGCATGCTCAAATTCACCGAAGCGTCTAGATGGGTTTGCTTGGTCAGTGACGAAAAAAGGCAAGGCTTACACATTCTTAGATACCAGATGGTGCAATATTGATACAAAATCTTTTCTCTCCAACAAATGGAGTTTTATTCTGGTGATTTCCATAACCTGGAGAAATCTACGAAGGGTGTGAGCATGATGCATTTCCCCTCCCTCCACCCTCCTCTATACCCTTCTGCTCCAATATGAGAAATGGCTGTTCATTCCTTCGTTTACCATTATTGCCTCATTTCCCCCTGTAATTAGCCATTAGGGATAAATTGGGTCCCCAACATTTAGTGTATAGCAACACCGGGTGCTACATAAATATCTGCTGAAAACTAAATGAATAGTTTAGCAATCCTACCGTGGACCATGAGAAAGTCAAAAAGTAGAAAGTGCTCTGCCTTCCACTTGCCCCATTTAGTGTTGCAAAATAGATGACTTGTCAACTTACAACCGGTCTTTATTTCCAGATAACTTGAACAATGGGAGGGCAAGGTGTTCCAAAAACACAATCGGTTCTTGTAAGCTGCCTCTTCCATATCTAGGAAACAGTACAGAGCACTGAAGACTACATACACAACCAGACCTGGATTCAAATCCACGTTCTACCATTTACTGGGTATGTAACCTTGAAGTAATTTGGCCTCCCCAATATTCAGCCCCTTGTGTGTCCAATGAAGATAACATCATAATGCGTGCTTCACAATGTTGCAATCGTAACAATGCACAGAAAACAGTAGTTCACTGAATATTGCTCCCCTTAGCTTCAAGTCATTAACAATGAAGGAATAATGGGAAATAAGTTCAGACGTCATTCTGTTCCTAGGAGCAGAGCAAGGGCACGCCTCCCTACTTCAGAGGACTAGCGCTGAGAGTGAGCTAGGCTGTGAGAGACCTGGATGGCCGAGCGCAGCTCAGGAATGCTATGGATCCTACCGCCAGCAGCTCCTGACGTGGGCCCAGACCTCTATGGGAGACCTTGGTTAGATCATGACGATTCAAGCCAACAGGATCACGCCCTTGAACTTTATTTTGTGGCCCCCCCAAAAAAATTCATTTGAGTCATATCTAAGAATTTTCCTCATTGTGACTGGTAGTTCAGGTTAAATGGCAAATTGATGGAGTTTGGTCAAAACCCCAGGGGCAGCGACAACCTGATAAACCACGTGGATTAACTCTAGATTCCACTCGTAGTCTCTGACATAGAACACGGCAAGAGCCGGTGGCATCTCCAGCCCTTTATGAAAACAGGCAGGCCCAATCCAACCTCCAAGGCAACCTACATGAGTAGATGCAGAGGCTGCATCTAAGCAGAGGCTTCTAGTGGGTCGGAAAATGGAATCTGATGAGCATGTTAGAATTTCAAGTCAACACCACAGAGTCACCTGCTTCCTGTACTGCAGGTTTCTCCATACGCCACTCTGAAGACAGCATCTTCAGAACTTCTTTTTTACTGGGCACTAATGAAATTCCCTACAGCACAGGAAGGAACGTAACTGAGTGTGATTCCCTATTTGCCCAAACGTGAAGGGCGTGTGAAGCCCATGAAAATACAAAAATGGATGCTGACAGATGTCCCAGCTCCATAGGACTACAAGTTCTGAATGCCCTGAACGTACAGGCTCAGCGGGATTCCTCCCTCGCTCCCCCTCGGGCTGGGTGTGGAATCCCAGGGCTGCAATAAGATCCTCCTATATTTGCATCCCCAAGGGCTCCAGTCCTGAGTCCCCAAGCTCACTGCAACTGAAGTCCTGGCTGCACCGGTATAGTAGCCAGTAGGTAAGACACACCTTCCCTGGGCAATCTTTCCTTTCCGTCACTGGCAAGAAACTTCTTTTCAAGTTTTCCTGATATGTCCTTCTCTCCCGTTCCATCCTTGGAAACACTGATTGGAGAGCCTCTTTGGAGACCTGACCAAAAGGGACCATGGAACAGAAAAGGTGCCTGAAGGTTGAATCATATAAAATTACCAATATTCAGCCTGTTTTAAGCTACAGAAATGACAACTTTATACAGTTCAACCTAGCTTCTACTAAGTAACTTCCTGAAAGGTTTAGAAGCGCTAACTATATGTTCTCAGAGACAGTTAAAAGTCAATGCTTCCGCTGGGTGTGACTTCGAGGCACCAAGTCCATATGGGCTTCCAACCCTACAAGATCACTTAAAAGGGACCATATGCCGGGCCATAAAAGTTGTCCTAATAGATTTCAAAAAACTGAAATCTTACACAGTGTAGCCTCCAATCTCAATGGAATTAAATTAGAAATCAACAACATGACACCTTTAAAAAGTCCCAACAACGTACTTTTACAGAACCCATGGTCAAAAAACAAATCACAAAGGAAATGAGAAAATTTCTGGACCGACTGAAAATGAAAACACCAGATTTTGAGGAATGCAGTTACAGTGATACTTAGAGAAGAACTTATACCTTTAGAAGCTATGTGAGAAAATAAGAAAGGTCTAAAATCAATGATCTGAGTTTTCACTTTGGGAAGCTAGAAAAGGAAGGACAAATTAAAGCCAAACTGAGTAGAAGGAAGGAAATAATAAAGAGGAGAAAGCAATAAAAATAGAAAACAGACAAGAAGTAGGGGATAAAAGGTAAACCAAAAGCCAGGTCACTGTAAAGATAAACAGAATCGATAAAATGCCAGCTATGATGATTGAGAGAGGAAAGAAGACACAAATGATAAAGATCAGGAATGAAAGAGAGAGGACACCACCTCAGAGCCCCCAGGAATGAAAAGAACTATAAGAGAAGTCTGAGAAAACTTGACAAACCTGACTAATTCCCTGTGGGCTAATTCCAGCTTGTTACCTGTTTTTTATACTTCTCTCGGAACAAGCCACACACATGGTCTCTGGCTGCTTTTGCTGCATAACAGCAGGGTTGAGTAAGTAGTTGCGACTGAGACCATGTGGCCCACAAAGCTGAAAATACTTATTACCTGATCCTTTAGAGAAAAGTTTCCTGACGGTAAGATCAGATGAACTAGACCGATTCCTTGATGCACACAAATACTAGAACTGATTCACAGAGAAATAGAGAATCTGAACATACCTCTATGTAGGAAAGGACTGATGTTGTACCTACAAACATTCTCACAAAGAATTCCAGACCTAGATGGCTTTTCTGGTGAATTCTAACAAACGACCAAGGAAGCGTTAACACCAATCCCACACAAACTCTTTCTGAAAAGAGAGGCGGAGGGAACACTTCCCAACTTGTTCTGTGAGGACAGTATTATCCTGATACCAGAATCAGAGAAACACATTTAAAAAAAAAGAAAGAAAGAAAGAAAGAAAGAAAAACTATGGCGATAAGAAACCAGGCTCTAAAATTTAGCACGGAGCTGACTCATTCCGTTCTGATGGGAGGTTAAAATAAAAAAAACAAAAACAAAAACAAATCTAGGACATACCAATATCTGAAGAACAAGAGAGAAAGCCACCTGGAAACAACATACCATTATACCTGAGGCCCTACATTCTCTCGAGGCACGTGGTAAAAGAAGAATCTGAAATTCCTGTTACAGGGTGGGGGAGACCTCACCCCTCTCCTCCTCACAGCTTGTGTGGCTTATTCACCTTCAACAGCAGCTGCCATCAAAAAGACCTACGGCCCCTTGGCCTTAACTCCATTCTGACTTGCAACTCAGAATAAAAGCTCCGACCAGGTCTCTAACTGTTCGGAGCGGTGTCACCAGAGCCAAATACCTGACAGTATGGCAGTCATGCCACAGGTCAATCTTTTCGTGTCTCAAGTAGACTTAGGTTTTTATAAAATAACACCTAGTGGTAGCAACTTCGTTCGTTCTCCCCAAGCTCCCTGTCACCCAGAACAGGCGTCGCCAGCGTCCCTGTGGTGGGCTGTCCGATGTGTCCGGGGACTGACTCAGGCAGCCTGATGGGGTCAGTAACAGATGTCTTGACTTCCGAGACTGGACCTGGCTCCCCCAGTACCTGAGTATCTACTGAGTACTAATGAAACGGGGGGCCACCTCTGGCAGCCTCCTAAACTAAGAGGGGTTCCCTTTGAGAATATCAGCATGTGTCCATCTAACTGGAGGGGCAGAAAGAGCTCCCCGGATTGCCTGGGTTAAACTGAGTTCCCCCACCTTTGGTGGCGGCCCAAGAAAGGACCCTACAAAGAGACAGGTACGGGATTTGTGAACCATTGTGTGGACTTCCCAAGGATCACCAGACAACTGCAGGGGTCTCAGGCGAAGGCCTTTTTCCACACTGACAAAGGGGAGACACGAGGTCGTTTCACGTCACTACCTGAAATGTGCTTGCTTGTTCTCCACCTTCCCCACCTGAATGTAAGCTCCACGAGGGCAGGCGCCCGTCGTCTCTTAGGCGCCACTGTATCGCAGTGCCTGGGCACCGGGTAGGCACTTGATAAGTATTTGCTAAAGGAGTGGCTAGCAGATGACCATCTGATTCCAGTGCGGCCTGCTGATGACCTAATGGTACGGGAACAGAAAATTGATGAAGCTGTCTTGCCCGAGTAAAGTTTGGGGTTTGCAGACAACCTAGCAGAGAAGTGGCTTTTAAAGTCCCGCGTGTTAACTGAGGGAGTCAGTCAACTCACAGCTGGCGTAGGAGCGGCTGTCGTCCTCACACATTTTGTGCAGCTGCTGGTACTCTTCCTGAGCCAGCTCGAAGCGCTGCTGCTTAATCTGGTAGATTTCTTTCTTGGCATTGAGAGCCTCCTGGGCTACAATTAAATATTCCTTCAACATCCGTTCCTGCTCTCGCCTCCACTGTTCTCTGGGGTCCTCAATCTGGGTCAGCTCTGAAATGAAAAAGCGTGAGACGTAAGTAAAACACACACACACACACACAAAGAATGCAATGACTTCAAAGTCAAATCTTGAGGTTGACTAATAGTCATGCGGTTATGGGACGCGTCAATATGAAAATGAATTACCAGGATACACGTTATGAGAGTCTACATAACAAACCTTCCTAGAGTGTGGAAGGAACCCTTTTATTTTTATAGCCACTTAAAATGAGGCGAAAACTCCACAGACACAAAATAGTTCACCGGAGGGGGAAGACAATACTAGACTATTTTTCACACTGTAAACAAATGTTGGCAGAGATGCACCAAATGAGCTAATCACTGTCAAGCTAATGGATTTCCAGCGCTCTTCTCACCGACCTCTTTGACTAGGGTGCCTGCGGCTCCGCTGCCCTCCGGCCCAGATTGCTCTCACACCACACCTGCAGCCTGTCTGCATTCCTCCTGGACTTGCTTGTCTCCTCCGGTCCATAAACTGCCCACTTCCCGGTCCGCCTTTCTCACCCTACAGGCTCCTAGAAAGGCTCACGCTACCTACCTCTGACTCCAACCTCTCTCCTGAGCTCCCATCTTTGCTTCCCACCTGCCTCCTCCATGCCTCTCTGCCTGGACAGACCCAAAGTAATTCTGAGTCTGTCATCCAAAGCAAAACTCATTCTCAGGCAGCGCCCTTTTGCCCCCCAAAACTGAAACCAAACCAAACAGCCCTGGTTGGTGTGCCTCAGTGGATTGAGTGCTGGCCTGTGAACTGAAAAGCTACCGGTTCAGTTCCCAGTCAAAGCACATGCTTGGGTTGTGGGCCAGGTCCCCTGTTGGGGGCGTGCGAGCGGCAAGCAATCAATGTATCCCTCACACATCGATGCTTCTCTCCCTCTCTCCCTTCCTTCCCCTCTCTCGGAAAATAAATAAGTAAAAATCTTCAAAAAAAAAAAAAAAAAGGAACCAAACCAAACAATGACACAACAGCGAACGCCCGCTTCTCCTGCCCTCCCTGCCCACATGAGCGCCATGGTCTGGACTCCCGCACTTAGCCGGCCAGGGAATCCAGCCTGGGCTCCATCCCCAGGGAAGCCCTGCCCTTCTCCCTCCCCCAGAACAGGCCGGGGGTCATCAAGAGCTGGTGACCCCTGCCGCTGGGTATAATGACTGCTGACGCGCCCTCCTCTCCATCTCCCCTTAGTTCAGTCAGACCCTCGTGATCTCTCTGCAAACACACGCAGGCTTCGTATCTCACCCACTGAAAGGCACCCTCCGTGCACTCACCAAAGCTGCCTTCCCACATCTGCTTGAAATTCCTGAACACGCAAACCTCTTTGAAAGCACAAAATCCAACATCCTCCACATGTTACGTGAGTCCTAAAACTCACTTGCCAGACTCTGTCCTTTTTCCCACAGATGCCCTCTAAAGAGACTGACTGTTTCCCCAAGTCCCCATCTTTGGCATCACTCACCTGTGCGTTTGTTCCTGCTGCCCCTGCCCTTCTGCCCACCAGGGACCTGAGCCTCTTCCAAGTCCCTTTGCAGAGGCACCTCTTTTCTGAAGCCTTCTCTGCCCTCAGAGCACATACATCTCTATGCAATGGCTAACACTGCTTTTCTTTCCATTTAGCACCTAATTGTTTTTCTATTTCTTTGTTTCCTACATAAAGTGAGAACCCCTAGAAAGCAGGCGCGCAGCCTCAGTCATTTTTGTATTCTCAGGACCCTTCATCAGGCTGAAACCCAGAGGGCCATCGATTGTTGTCCGTGGGCTCACTGAATGAGGAACAGAAGGGGCAGTCTGTTCCAAGGACAGAGGACTACAGTCCCGAAATCAGATCCTTAGACTGAGGGGGCAAACTGAGCAAACGGGCAAGACACCCAGACTCAGCAAAGGTCAACTCTCTTCATGCAACTACTCTGCTGGTGGTGGTTTCGACACAAGTCAAAAATGGAAAGCAGTGTCCCTGTTCCATGTTTAGCGTCCCCAGGCTATGCTGTCTCCGCTATCATGTTGACATATTGATAAGCATATGCGGGCTGCTGGCAACCAAAACAAAATAAGAGAGAGTTCATAGGAGAGAAATGCTGGTCCAATTCCCCCCAGCCAAACCCTAAACAAATATGCAAAATAATCCCAAAGTGGGTCGCCTGAGCAGCACTACCACAACCCTAATGCCACGGCCCACTGATGGATGGATGGATGAAAAAGTGTAATCTATCCACCATGGAGTATAATTCAGCCATGAAAAGGAATGAAGCACTGACACAGGCTATCACGTGCTTGAACCTCAAAGCCATCATGGCGAAAGGAGCCAGACACAAAATATCACATAGTATCTGGTTCCCTTTATATGAAATTCCAGAAGAGGCATATCCGTAGAGACAGAAAGGAGATTGGTGGTTGCCAGGGGCTGGGAAACTGAAGGGAAATGGGGAGGGAGTGCTCACAGGTTCAGGGTTTGACCTTGGGGCGATGAAATGTTCTGGAACTAGATAGAGGTGTTGGCTGTATAATGCTGTGAAGGCACCAAACACCACTGGACTGTACACTTCATAATGGTTAATTTTGTGTTCTGTGCATTTCACCTCAAAATGGTTAAAAATGGAAATTTTATGTCTGGTTTACATTAACACACACACACATACACACACACACACACACGCGCACACACACACACGAGCACTTGCTAGGATGTTTCAAGTAAGTTCTTCTTTTAAACCCCCTTCCACCAACACCTCTCATCCCCCTTCTCACCACCACCCCAGAGCCCTCCTAGAAAGCCTCTCCAGGCCTTGACAGCGTACGTGGGGAAATAAGGAACCAGGGAAACAGCAAAAAGCAGGGTCTTGCCCTAGTGCCGGAGTTCAGTCAGAGGGCTTGGGGCAGAGCAGCCACAGCTGTTTGTAACTGCCCGATGTGTCTGACGTTTATGCAGCTGTGAGACCCGCTGCGATGGCCGGCACTGTCAGCACCCTGTCCAGTGTGTGAGAGGGTCCTGGGCCCCTCAAGGTGGTCACCTCAGGGCCCCTCTGGTCCCTAACCCCACTGTCGACCTGCACAGTTTCAATTTAATAGAATTGCCCCCTCGGGTTCTGTGCCTTCTGAAAGCTGTGATACCAAGAGTTGGTTTCTCAGGAGCAAGTGTTCTGGAATGGGGTCTTTGGCCCTCTATGTAAAAATTATTACAACAATAACTTTTCTTGTTTCTGAAAAAAAAAAACTGGGTTCTCTGAAGGCCTCAGAGGGAAGAGGGAGTGAGCCTGGAGGTGATGTGTTCGCCCACATCCCCGCTGGTGGCGGCTCACCCCAACTACACTCAAGGCGGCATTAAGAAAGTCCTTAATGTCTAGAGTGCACTGTCGAATCCTTGAGGGTGGAGGCTGGGTTTCGCTTTCCTGCGTCCCCAGGGCCTAAAGAGGGGTCAAAACAGAGGGACCTCTACAACACTTGCTCTGATTCAGCGGCAGACGAGCCGGGGCCGCGGAGGGATGAGTTTATGAGAGACGAGCCAGGACAGGTCCTGGGCCTCCACGGCGGGCAGGCCGACTTTCCAGAAAGGTTGTGTAAGGCAGATGCCTTTACTGCTCAGTCACACCACCTGGGCCCTGGAGGCGAAAGCCTGGAGATGAAGCTATGCTGCGCGCAGGCCCACAGCACAGCGACCTGGCCGAGCAGCCAGCTCCTGTGGGCGTGGCCTTCCCCTGTGGGAACTGCCCTCCCCTGTGGGCGTGGCCCTCCCCTGTGGGAACTGCCCTTACTTGTGGGAGTGGCTCTCCCCTGTGGGAACTGCCCTCACCTGTAGGAGCTGCTTTCACCTGTGGAAGCTGCCTTCACCTGTGGGAACTGCCCTCCTGTGCAGGAGCGGCCCTCAACTGTGGGCGCTCCCACCAGCAGCTGGGAAAGCAAGCCCAGATGGCCAGGCACCCCAAACACACACCACCGGGTCAGCCGGGGTGGTGGATCCACCTAGAAGCCCTCTTGCCACCCGGATACCTGCCCGGGAGGCCAGGCAGCACCTCTGCTGAGCGCCCAGTCTTTGCCAAGTATCAGAAATGGCTCTACCCCAGGGCTGACAGGGGGAGCCTGGCCATTCAGGTTTCTTTCTCTTCTTTTTCTTTAGCTCAAATTTTTAATTATCTGATTCGATAAACATAAAATTAAATTTCAATAAATAGAATTAGAACAAACATAAAAGGGAAAAAGAAAATAATGATTAAAAAAGTTGTTCACTGAAAATGTGCATTTAAGATTAATAGTGAGAATGTCTATTACTCATTTCTTGTTGTCCAACTGTAATTGAAGAAACTATGTGTAGATTAGTAATTCTCTAGATTAGACCATTTTGGCATACTTTGAATAAACACCATGCACATTAATATTTTGAAGTTTTTAATGTGACAAATGAGTTGTTTCTTTCTTGTTTAACTACCTAATCCAGATTGGATGGACAACAATGCTACCCTCGGGGAATAATGTGTACCTATACTCCTTCTATTGTTTTGTTTTGTTTTGTTTTTCAACTGCAGTTTACATTCAATATTATTCTGTATGAGTTTCAGGTGAAATATCAGGGGGACTGCTCTGCAAAGTACATGACCGCCACTCAGGTTTGCCATTCAGGAGGCGAGTTGGCAAGTGACAGTGAAGGAATCAGCCCTAAAGGCAGCAACCTGGCCTGACCACAATAAGAGGACATGCAAAGCCATGGGACCAGACTGAGGGAAGAGCTTTGAAGTCACTCCTGCGAGGCGCGTGCGGCATCCTCAGACCCTCCGGCCTGCCCCGCACTTAACACACAGAGGACAGAACACACAGTAAGGGGAAGCCGTGCTTTACGCCCCTGCTAGTAAAAAAAAGGAGAATGACAGAAACACTACACTGCGTGAGCAGTGGGGAGACAGATCTAGAATGACATGGGGCCTGGGAGGCAGGGTATGCCACCCTCGGCCCTCCTGACATTTGGGGCCGGCTCGTTCTCTTGTGGGGCCACCCTGTGCGGTGCACTGCAGCAGGTTTGGCAGCGCCCCTGGCCTCTACCCACGAGACACCAGGAGGCCCCTCCGCCATGTGTGACACCTGACTATTACCAGATATTACCTAGTGTCCCCAGAAGGCAAAATCAGCCCCGGTGAGAACCACTGCTCTAAGCAGTCCTACAAAGCAGGCTGGTGTGGTCAGGGACCTGCTGGTTTAGCCGTAGTATTTACACCATTCCCTCCCTTCACGGAGATCAGAAAGGTTTGGTGGACTCCAGTTACGCATATAAGCCAAAATGAAGTTAAGGTCACCACTTGGGCAGTTAATCATTCCAAGAATGTGTAAGCTCCACTTTGCGATAACCAACCTTCTCGTTGTAAGAGGTAGTTCTAGTTCCAAACTGTCTGGGAGAGGTATCCCTTACATTAGATATTATGACCCTCCATTAAACATACGCCATACAGTCCTCAGCAGTGTACAAGCAAAGTAGCTACATAGCTGCTTCCCTTTTTTAAGGAGTCAGCTAATGAAAACTTCAGATTACATTTATAAAATCCAGTTTAATGCTGCACTGGGCTATAAAGATTGTTTTGCTCTACAAAAAGAGCTTTTGGCATCTTTGAGATCAAAATGAAAACTCAGTCACATACAATAACTCAATGTGGCACTCTACTTACTATTTATGTGGTCCATGTAATAAATTCCAATCTGTTTATCATATACAGTTTCCCATCCTAAAGGAAGTTCATCCCCAACACAATCGGCAAAGGTCAGTGGCTTTGTTATCCTGCAAAATAAAATTACAAAAGCAAATGTGAATATCAGGTCGGTCTTGTGTAAGTTTGCTGAATCGACTCTAGAATCAAGGTTTTAATACGAAATGATATATTATCTTATCTCGTTGACTGGTTTTGCCCCCAACTTTCGGTTGGAAAAATAAATCACCAGCTTTGCCTAAGTAATATCAGTAACAATATCAGTACACTCACAGTTAAAAGCATTTCTATCTCATAGTGCAACTTTAAATACCAGCAAAAACATATCAAAAGTTACAAAACAGGTAAGACAAGCATCTTCTTCCAAGCAGTGCGTGTAATGAGGTGATGACAGCGGAATGCGGCTCTTCCACAGCAACAGGACAGCAGCCCCGCTTTGTTCTCAATTCCTGCAAAATGTTTGCCCTCCCAACTTTCCATACAATGCAGCTTTCATCTAGCCAAAACATGATCTTTCTATGACTGGCGGTCATAAGTTAAGGAGTTAAAAATAACTATTGACCAAACACAAAAATCCAAACACGCGTGGTAAACAATACAAGGAGATGCCTACTACCTACTGCCTGGGTGCCCGATGCAGTAGGAATCAAGATTGGAAAGGGTCCTTCTTGTTTTCTGGAGAAAAACAACAAAAGCATGTTGTCTACAGACCTCTCTCCTTAAAGCAAAGCTGATTAAAAACCTTGGTTCGACACAGAGAGATAAAGGTAAAGTTTCCAGATGGGCTTCTTTAACTAGAACTCCCCCTCCCCACACCCCACGATCACACTGATTGACAAGACAGCTCTTGTATAAAACATGCCACGCCTATCATTGTCTGAGTCTGGGCAGCTATCTGTTCAGTATTCTCTATAAATGCACAGACTGACATGCATGGGAAGCCGATAACCTCAATTTCACTAACTCAATCCTCCCACATCCTCTGTTCAAGTCCCTGGCCCCGGGAAAGTGAGAAGCCACAACCACCGCCAAACCCCACAAGACCACTATAAATTCTGAACATGTTTTTCTTCCAAACTGGTTCGGCAACAAGGCTTTGTCTCAGCCAGTAGCATTTAGAAATTGATGAACACCATTAGAAAGGCACTGATCAGAATTCGTCTTCATTTTAAACATACGGTTTTAAGAAATTAGAGTGCATACCAAAACAGAAATATACAAAAGGTAAAAGTCACTGCAGACATCCTCCCAAATACAATGCGCTCAAAACCCCACAACATCACAAGAGCCTATTGTGTGCCGGTCCCATCCCACAACACAACGTCCACAACACGATTCCTTTACAGGTCGGGAACACTGTGCCAGGGGTCTGGTTCCACGTCTAGCAGGTCACAGCAGGATTTTGTGTGTGATTCAAGTCCTGAATGGGACAAAACCACAACAAAGACAATGCTACTTTAAGATAAACTGAGTCCTGCGCACATCTCTGCTATCCTAGATTGATGAGTAAGCCTAGGGAAAAATGCCCAAGCACAGGCGCAGTCTAAGTATGCTTACATACATGATCTCATTTAGTCCGCAGACATAGGTGGGAGACCTGATCTCTCAGTACTGCTGAGCCCACCCGACTCACTTTACAATTCAGAACTGTTATGAAACTATTGTAAGTTCATATTTTTCAATTTTCTGCCCAATAACCAATGCCGGTAATTATAATAACATTTCCGTACTCCTTGTTCCAAAAATAAACAAACCGATACATCTACCATTTTGGTGAATGTTATTCTGGCTTACTACACAATCCACGTCTCTGATTGCACTTCCTTTCTAAACAAGGTGTGGGCTCTGCATGACCCTCCACAGCATTGGTGCCTCAAAGCGAGCTGATGAGGAGTCATGGCTCTCAGTCTCTGCGCCCACAGAAAAATTACCAAGTCCTTGCTGTTGGTCTCATCAGCCCACAGCGCCCACATTTTGAGCTCGTTCGCCCTCACTTGACAGCGGCTTGGACAGTGATGAAGTTTTCTGGCTCTCTAAGACAACAGTGGTACACTAGAAGGCAAGGACAGGGATCTCATGCAGCTAAGGGGGCAGCTGCCGGCACGGAGGAGCATGTACGCCCGCTCACTGGATTCATCCGTCACACTGTGAAATGCACTCGCCTGCAACAGCCTACCCACGGCGGCCAGCCTCTAAGATGGCTCCCCACACTTCTTCACTGCTGATGTTCATGACCTTGTAATCCCCCTGCCACACTGAATAGGGCTGACCTGTACAACCAACAGGATATTATGGAAAGGACAGTGTGTGGCCTCCAAGGTAAAGTCATACAAGACACTGCGCTTCCACCTTCTTCTCTTGGCTATCTGGCTCTAGGGGAGAGCAGCACCACGCTGTGAGGACACTCAAGCCGCCCAGTGGAGGGACCCACATGGAGAAGGACTGAGGCCTCCTGCCGACAGCCAGCGCCAACAGCCAGCCATGTGAGCAAACCTCCTTGGAAGCGGCTCCACTGGCCCCAGTTAAGCCTAGGAATAAAATCCAGGAATAAATAACTTCCATTTTCACAAAGGGTTCGCTAAGGGGATTAACATAATTTACCTAAACACTCTCCTACTATGGATAGCTACATTATTTTCTAATTTCCACTAGTATAAATATTCATGAGAGCTGCTTGGGGAACAATTCAGCAATTTCTTTTCTTTTCTAAAAAAAAGATTTTACTTACTTATTTATTTTAGAGGGTGAGAAAGGGAGGGAGAAGGAGAGGAAGAGAAACACTGACTGGCTGCCTCTCACGCGCCCCCAGCCAGGGACCTGCCCCGCAACCCAGGCACATGCCTTGACTGGAATCAAACCGGCGACCCTTTGGTTCGCAGGCCGGCACTCACTCCACCGAGCCACACCAGCCAGGGCAGCCATCTCTTAAACAGCTAAACAAAGAGTTTCCATATGACCCAGCAATTCTATGCCTAGGTGTATACCCGAGAGAAACAGGAACATGCCCATACAAAAGAATGTCCATAACAGCATTACTCACAACAGCCGAAAGGTGAAAACAACTAAGGGTCATCAACTGATGGATGCATGTATAAAACATGGTCTAACCATACAATGGAATGTTATTCAGCCATTACAAAGGATAAAGTACTGACACAGGCTACAACACAGATGGACCTTGAAGTCACTGTGCTGAGTTAAAGAAGCCAGATACAGAAGGCCACATGCTGTGTGGTTCTATCTATAAGAAATGTCTATAGGAGGCAAATCCATAGCAAGGTAGTAGAGCAGTGGCAGCCAGGGCCTGGGGGAGAGAGGAAATGGGAGTGACTACTAATGGGTACAGGGCTTCCTCTGGGGGTGATAAAAAAGTTCTGGAACTAGACAGTGGAGATGTTCACACGACTTTGTGAATATACTAAAAACAAATAAACTGTACACTTTAGATGGTGCATGTTATGGTATATGTGAGCTATATCTCAATTTTTAAGACTACGACGAAAGGAACATCTCTGTGTGTAAAGCTCATAATCTGTATTTGTAGTTACTTTTTTTAAAAAAGTCCCAGAAGTAAATGTACAAGGTCAAGGATGTGAAGCTCCTTTCTCCATATCTTAAATTTAACGTGAAAAATCTAGACAGTCAAGTGTAAAGGAAAGGACATGAAGTCACCTATAATCCAGAGGCCCTGGCTACTTTCTCTCCTTCTGCTTCCTACATTTTTCCACAGCTGATATCATACTAGATACAATTTCATACACTGATTTCTTTCATTTGTGTATTTTTTCAGGCCCTTTAACTCTTTGTTAGCATCACTTTCTATTGTGTTGGAGTCTTGCATCGTGTGCAGTAAATCATAATTTATTTACCAGGCACCTGAAGTCATCTATCTAGGCATGTTCCAATTTTCTGCTCTTTACCGTAAAGAAAAGATATGAGCTTACAGTAAATGCTTGGTGTGTATTGCGAAGGTGCCTGACCATCAGCATACATGCCTACCAGCGAGATAAGTGGTGGTCTTTTTCATCGCCCTCTGGGGATATCTTTAACACATTTGTTCAAGGGCTCAGAATAAATCCATATGGCAGAAGCATGCTTTACTTTCAAGGAACAAGTTGGTAGGGAGTACAGTGTAAGTTTAATAGCATTTTCAGAATGTGGGGGAGTTGGGAAAACACGGTGAGCAATGAAGTGATAAGCAGCGTACCCACTGTTCCCACGCTTCAAAGCGTTAGAGCTCTAACACTGTATCTCAAGGCCCCTGGGCCAGCTCTCCCTGATCTCCTTGCTCAGTTGCCCCATCTGAGCAACGTCAACCAGGAAAGACGCCCTCTTTCCCTGCCCCAACCCCCACTCAGAGATATTCCCATCCTTGGCCTTGGTACAGAAAATGGATACATTCTGCATTCTTACCAGAGCTGGTCCACAAGAAGGGAGACAAGGATGGGTGGCACTGGCACCGGACTTCTTTTTACTCCATTTTGCCTGCTGCATCCTGCGGGACTCTATTAGAAGCAGCATCGGGCCACTTCAGTCCATGCCAGCTCCAAGACAGCCCGGTTCCTAATCTTGAAAGTGAGGGTGATCAGACCAACCTCACAGGGTCACGTTAGCTGGGACAGCCTCTTTGGTTTCTGCACGGACACCAGCTCCATGCCCTCCCCCTCCTGCCTCCCTCTCATTGCCCTAGTACACCTGCTTCACACTGTATCCGTTTCCTTTTGCTGCCATAACAGAGGACCACAAAATTGGTGGCTTTAAGCAACACAGGCTTACTGCCTTACAGTTCCGAAGATCAGAAGCCTGGGTTTATTTCTCTGAACTATTGAACCAAACTGCCAATAAGTCTGTGTTCCTTTCAGAAGCCGCAGAGGGGAACCTGCTCCCTTGCCTGGTCCAGCTTCTAAAGACTGCCCACCATCCACGGAAGCTTCCTCCGCCTGCAAAGCCGGCCCCGGCCGGCCGAGTCTTTCTCAGGAGGTCTTGTCTCTGGTCCTCCCTCCTCTGCCTCCCTCTTCCACTTATAAAGACCCTTGTGATTACACTGGATTTCCCTGAATAGTTCAGAATA